CGGGTCAAACTTATCAACGTCGGTTCATTCATTATGACGTCGGTGATATGTCCGAGTCAAAGTTATTAAGGCCGGGTCAACGTAGATGACATATAGAATCATGTGCAAAACAGTGTAGCCGAGACCATTGATTGGCGCGCTAAAATATCCCATTGACTGGGTCAGATTAGGTGAACGTTCGTCTGTAACGCCCACAACTCACGACGTATTTATTATAAACATTTAAACTGTGGGGTTGCCAAAGGGTCTCAGTATATATACGAACTACAGTGCACAGTATATTATATACATATTTTATTTGCGATCATAAAATGTACGAAGTCGTCCATTACTATGTAAATTGGGTCGATTAAAAAAAAAGCTGAATATGTTTCTGTTGCCAAGGGTTTTTCACAAGTATAGTAATTAGCAGAAAAGATCATCAAACTATACATTTTATACTGAACTGCGGCCAAGCTTAGCGAAAGGTCGTGCAACATAATCAGTCAAACAAACTTTATTAGATTAACTCGTTAAGGAACGATCGTTTTCATTGGTCAATTCAAACCTTCGACCTCACACCTGCGAAAATAGAACACGCGTACTATAAAGCTGAATGGACTGATCAGTATTCACGTAGCCGGTCAAGGTCGTTAAAAACTTCCATCGTCGTATTCACGTACTTTATTGTGTTCTTGATTATCCCATGGCAATTCTAGCTTTTATACATGTGCATGTAAAATTTTAAACTTTAATCTTAACAGTCACGTCGAAATATTTAATTCAACTGTCTCCTCTCAATTGGTTCTGGACTAAGGGAGCTACCATTTTATTTTGATTGGGGGTGGGGAACTTGGATGAAACATTTTGTCCTGCATTTTTTTTTAGTTGTTATCTCTGTCCTGTCTTTCTATTTTTCAGTCTGTTAGGTCCTGACTATATTTATTAGTTTATCCTGATTTTTTTACATAAATCGTCATCCTGCCTTTTTTTTGTCAAGTTGCTCACCCTGCCTTATCTTTTATTCAATGGACTTGATGAGTTATCGTTGTACTTGAAATGAAACCGTACTTAACTACAAAAATAACCAAATTACATACTAAAGATATTGCTCGATTTTTATAGTAAATGGGTTTGTGTTATAAACTGTCATGTTCATTATTCATATTCTTTCATAAGTTTTAGGATAGTGTGATTTTTTTTCTGATTTAGTTTACTTGATTTTGAAAAAAAAATCCTGAAATTCTAAGTAAATTCAGAACATGTAAACAGCCATGCTTTGTTTAGAGAAAAAATGGAGATTGCAAACCATGGCACAGTGGAAGGAAATGTACTTTATAAACTCCAGCGATATACTTTCTTAATTTATAATTAACTGTTTTGCTATCCTCGGTTGAAAATTATATATTGTAAATATTTAAACAGTTGCATAGAAAACAATCAGTTTTAAACAGTGTGGTTATTCACTAAATGTATTGATAAAAGGTGACTCCATTTTTGTACATACTTTTACAGTAGTCATCCTTAATTTCTTAATATTTCGTTTATAAGTTTATCATACATGTATGATTTTGTATTTCATTTTAATACGCACGCATGCCACACGTTACTTTGGCGGATAGTTCAACAATGTTATGCAAAGCTCTATTCTTACGGTATGAAATTAAAGGATAAATTTTCAACCAATTAAAATCGAAAACAGTACATTTATATAGTTCCTTATAAACTACGACATTTCTCACAAGTATTTATTTATTTTTTAGTTCCACACATGCAAAAATAAAATCTTCGCCGATGAAACATTTCAAACCTTTTTACACCAACATGCCTTCACTGAATTCATTTGAATTTCGTGGTGACCATGATAGTACATTGCATAGTACATCTATATTCACGTGCACACATGATACGATCTTTCGGGGACAATTTGCTCGTTTATGACACGTCATTTCTGAATGACCAAACGCTTAGCTACTTTATTTTCGTCTTATAGCATGAAAACAATAAAAGAGGAATGCGCAACCCATCACAAATTTGAAATGGATCAGTATTATGAGATCCTTATTATAAGTAACTACGACATTGTCAGGATAATAACCTAGCGTCAATATGAAAGAAATTAAAGTGGTTCATACATTCATCCGTATAAAAGCGGCACATGTATTTTATTTTATCCTTATATTTTTCATAGTGCGGTACAAGCGCTGCATGCATAAAGAATATTACTTAACACAAATTATTAGTATAATATTTCGACCCCACTCTTTGAAATTCACAAAATACTTATTTAATTATTTCGACCAAAAATCATTGTTTTTTACGTTCGTAGTAACGTAGTACATTCCATTGTCGGTCACCTGTATCAATTCACGTGCACACTACAATTGTTGTTGTATTTAAATCTTTCGGCCAATGAAATGAGACGTTACAAGTTGTTTGTTTGTGATACGCCAGAATGTTATCAATGAATTATCAATCGCTAAACTTGACTGCATTTCAGTGACCTATTCAAAAACGTAAATGCAAATTTCATAAGGCTTGATCCAAATAGCCTTTTTACTGTCTAATAACTTGCAAGTACGAAAAAGACAGGAAAGAAGTATATTTTGTCTATATGTTTTGTGTTTGCACACTTTTTAAAGTTGATCATGCATTCGTTCTAAAATAAAATTTTGACCTGATAAAAGTTAAAAGATGACATAATTGGACAACCGCAATTGTCAAATCGCTTTGACGTCCAAAAAAAAAGATAATAATCAACACATCCATTGTAACTTTTAAAGCCAGTTAAATCCTTTTTTTGCTGAAAGAACGTCCGACATCATAAAAATTGATTATCAAAACATAACAAAAACACAAGTAAAGAACGTTTAAGTATTCAATTTAAATCAAAACACAAAGGTTATTCCTGATTAGTTTTTCGAATTATTTTATTTAGGCGTTGAGACCCTTTGGTGACCCCACAGTTTAAATGTTTATTATAAATATGTCGTGAGTTGTGGGCGTTACAGACGAACGTTCACCTAATCTGACCCAGTCAATGGGATATTTTAGCGCGCCAATCAATGGTCTTGGCTACACTGTTTTGCACATGATTCTAGTAACGTCTTGAAACTCAAATAGGGAACCATGTATTTTAGGTTTTAAGGATATTGCTTATGTGCGGATTTGGTATAATTTTAGAGATAGGATTAATTGAGTATAGCGCTATAAGGTTTGGGTCCAATAAAATAGATGAAGGTCCTTCGTTTATTCAAATTTGCGTCTTTTTTATAAGATGTTATTTTAGCCCGTTGATTTCTTCTCAGATTTATTTGAGTACTCAACCACCAATGCTTCTTTACTTATTTGACATATATCATTGACAGTTCATACTCACTGAATTTGCAATATAACATTCAAAGTTGGTGACCAACTACTAACTTTAAAGTAAACGTTTGAAAAAAATGTTTAATGACAATTTAGATAATAACGCAACAAGTGTCATAGAGTTGTGGTCTGTTATCTATTTCCCGTACAAAGAGTTCGACTATAAACGTAGAATGATTACAGGTATGTGTTAATTTGTTGGCCTGAAACAAATTGATTATTCAGAAAGCTCGTTCATTATCATATTTAGATTGAATAACTCCAGTTGAAATCAAGCGATATCCACCACTCACTCGTAATGAAACCTATAATCCCAAAGGGTGTTGATGCAATAATTTGTAACGTTATAAATTCATGCCATGACATACCAGTCAAAGTCAGTTGTGAAGCCTTTATTTTGAATTCAGGTTTTACACATTATGGATAATTATACACAATGATTTGAGCTTAAGGATGTTCGCTACTCTGTTTCAAAATAACAAGCTTTTTAAAAGACTGTTACAAATTTAAAGTATATGAATAAAGAAACTAAAAAAGCACAAAAAATTGAAGGGTCCGTGTGCTTGTTTCCGAGATATAAGCCATTGAAAATTTGGCGGGAAATGATTCTCTCTAGACTTTTCATACATTTAACATTGAAACCTTTTTTCTTTCAAATACTATGAAAAAATAACAAGGATTTTATAAGATTTTAAAATATTGCTTTTTTTTAACTATATGCAATAAAATAATGAAAAGAAAAGTAGGGGTTATCGGGCAAAATTTTTATTGGCATTACATGGATAAAACTAGAGGATTTCGAATATCTGACAAAAAATCAAAAAAATGAGTAGCAAACATCCTTAAAAAGAGGTGGAAGATACCAAGGGGACATTCAAAACTCCCAATTCGAAAAAAAACTGACAACGTCATTGCAATAAAATAAAAAAAACGACGAAAAAAAAGAACAAATCAACAAAACACCACATAGAAGACTTAAGATTGAGCAACACGAACCCAACCAAAAAACGGGGGGTAAGCAGTTCCCGCTCCACATGTGGCATCATTCGTGTCGTAAAAATGCTATTGATTACCAGTTTGTGTGATATATATAGCTTTATCAGTAATCAGTCGTAAAATATCTCAAAACTATATGCATATAGTAGCAAATACTGAAAGATCCTTTTGATTATGAGGTCACTAGTCGTAGGTCAAAACCAGCTCAATGTTTGTGATCTTTAAATAAAAAAATCAACCAATCGTCCTATTAGTTGTATAAGAAATTCAAATCAGGTAGTCCTAGGGAAATTTTGCACATCTTAGCATTTTGATTGATCGAGATTTGATGGTTTAGAAGTCATAGTAAGAATGTTTTCTTCATCGCGAAATACATTTTATATAAAAAATAAATAGATATGGTGTGATTGCAAATGAGATAGCTATTCACTTAAGACCAAGAAACGGGTGTAGTCAGCTATAGGTCACCACACGGCCTTCAACAATAAGTAAACCCCATACCGAATTTTTAACTATAAAAGGCACCAGTATGAAAAATGTAAAAATAATGCAAACGAGGAAACCAACGGCCTTTTCTTTGCTGAAACACAAACGAAAAACAAATATGACAGACAACTACTGATTTACAGGCTCATGACTTGTCAAAAAGAGAACAATAACACTTTTTATATTTTAATAATACTCAAATCGTCGATCTATCTATTAACCGCCGCATTTTTGACTAGGACATTTACTTTTCAAGCATTTTGCCCAAGGATAATACATTGGCTGGTCTCGACATAATTGATAGCAATCGCTACAATTCCGTCGAGGTGGTGGTTGGTATCGGCAGCAACTTTTGTAACAGCTCCAAAACGCATTAAACATAGGTCGACCCCGGCACTTCTGGCTGCATCCGGTACAACTTGAAGACCTGCTTATGTCAATTACTGCAATAATCAATACAAGAACCAAGCTTGCATGCAGTTTCATCTGAAAAGTAGTACGAACTTCTCTTAAAACATTTTAAATAACAAAATTAATACAGGATAAATATTACAAGAAAATGATCTGAGAAGTTTCTAGTTCACAGTCCCGTCATGTTAACATCTTTGTCTTGTCTAGTGTAAGTGTTGACGATGTTACATATAGGATATTTTTTAAAAAAAACATGCAAATTTTATATGAAATATGGTTGGAGTTTTTTAAATCAAAAGTCTAGCACAAGGATTATAATAACTTCTGTTCTTGCCCTGCATTAGTAATGTTGAAATTACAGCTGCCTTGGATATATTTTTAATTTGTTAAATGTAACGAAATGATAAAAAAAAAACTCTCTTACCATTACAATTCAAACTTCCAATAGTGACAACTGTTGTTAGATGGAATGGATATATTGTTTCGTGACATGTCACATATTTTATTAAAATTAAAATTGTATCAGATAGCAGATGAAAAATTAATAAACATGTATTGGTATACTAAAACGGTTACTACAATGATTATAATATTAAAGAAAGATAGAAAATGACTGACATCAACATTATGTTTAAGTGTGGACACGTATCAGTGTGGATAAGGACTGTTGGTGGGTTTGAGTAATGGTACATTTGAACTTCACACTGCATTTGGCATTATATGAATAGTAATAGTAGATTCATGATATAGTTGAAATCTCCGAAATGCGTATCTCTTTAGAGCAGGACCAACAGTTTTTTTTTAAGTGTTGGCTAAACTTGACTACAATATTTATTTAGTAAGGTTCATCACCTTAGTATCATTTGTACATGATTTGATTTTAATGTGAAATATTGTTCATGAGAAGGAGCTTCGTGGATGTATTTCTCATTGGATAGGTAACCATAAAAGAGCTCACCTTGAGTTACAGTTTTGGAACACAAACTCATTATTTGTATATGATCGGCCTTGTATCATGTGTTCGAGATTATGTTTAAACGTTTGTGGGGGTTATTAAGAAGAAGCTATTTCATTTGCAAGTTTCCAAGACAGTTCTATTTTAAATTTTGTTCCGATGTAGTGGCTAGCTTTGTTTCGGATAGGCGCTAAATCAAAACAAGTAGAGGGACATACTAGGTTCATTAATTTGAGCATGCATGTTGTTTTTTAAATAAACCATGAAATTGTTGTCAATGTGAGTTGAACCTTTTCATACGCAAATACACATCTTACAATCTTTCTTAGCATCAAATATACCTGACCTATAATTTATAGTTCCTTGGGAAACTGACATCATCTCGAAAATGTAAACCTTTTAGTTTAAAATAAGGTCAATGTCAGATGAAGTTTGTAAAGCCATAAAAACCTTACAACCAATCTATAGACCGAATTAAGTTATAGTCCCTAAGAAACTGACATACTAGTAATCATGGAAAACTTAACGTTGACCACGACTAAACCATGACACGAAGTGAAAGTCAGATGAATTGTGTGATGGAAGTCTTGAGACCAAGGTCTTCCCACAGGTATCACATAAACATAACATAATCAATGATCCGTGAAAGTGAGGTCAAGGTCTAAAGAACCCTGCACAAGAGAGGCGGAATATACCAAAGAAATATTCAAACTCATAAATCGAAAACGAACCGACAGTGCCAAGGCAAAAAAAAAAAACCAACAAAACAAAAACAAAAACGACCTAAGACAAACAATTCAACAAAACACAACGTAGAAAACTAAACTGAGCAACAAGAACCCAAGTGACAAAAACCGGGGGTGATCTTAGATGCCCCGAAAGGGTGAGAAGATACTGCTCCACATGTGGTACCCGTCGTGTTGCTCTTGTAAGTACAAACCCGATGACAAGTCTAATTCTTTGGGTCACATTCGAGAGAGAGGACGGGATTGTTATTACAACAAATTGGACATGTCCGTCGTCATCTGTGTAACCGATATTCCAAAATGGTCAACCATTAAACTCAACGTTGATCAATGGATCGTGAAATTATGTCGTCAGATCTGAGACTACTATAACAAAATATAGTACAGCTGAATTACTTACAGTATCTGAAAAACATTGACCGAATCACGAAAACTCGAGGAAAAGAACCATGAAAATGATGTTAAGGACAATGGTTGTATGTCAGAGGAAAAATTCAGACCATAATACACTTTTAAATACGATATGGATTACCAAGCCCTAGCCTTCTACATTCTTCACATGAAAATTTAACCAAAAAAGCCAACTGCCAATTAGCACTCCTGTCTTGCATTTAGTAAGTTTCGTGGCAGGCAAGACAACAAAATTTCTGGTTGTTTTTAAGCAGACATTGAACCATACAAATCATTTCAAGATCAACAGACGTATTCCTGACAGAAACTTCAAATCATACGGCATCTGTTTGTCAGCTATGGTTATCTAGCTCTTCTCCAATATGAAGATTTAAAACTAAAAGACAAAGACCACCTCCTGACCTATATTAACAGCTCAATTGCTGGCATTCTGCAACAGGACCAAAACAAAATCCACTAAATGTTTGTGTATCTGACCGGTCTTATAGGTTTTGTCAATTTAGACAATTTGGAATGGATGACATATCTTTGATCATCTCAATTAAATGTATTCACTACTTTTCTTGACTACGGGCTAATTAGAGCTTGACAAATTGTATAGACACGTGTCTATTGTTATGTTGACCTTTAGAGGTCTTCTCGATCTTTTGTGTTGTAGTTGTTAGGTTGCTATTTCAAAGAAATATATACCCCAAACCTCATTTTAGTCATATTAGCAACTAAGATAGTTTCTTTTAAGTTTACTTAACAATAAACAAATGGTGATTCTGTTTATAATCACTCTTTGTGTTGATTTTTTTTCACAAACATATCTCGCTTTGTGTTCGACACTATTAATACTTTACAATGTTGTAAATCAGAGGATCACTCTAAACCACCAGCAATCATCCCTTTTCTCTTTGACTTAATCAACATTATCATCTGTGTGGGTGACTTTCAACTAACTCACCAAATGTGTACTGTACTTCAAAAATCAAGAGTGTACACACTGAAATGTCTCGCCTGTTGTACTGACCATGATTGATTAAATGTTGAAATTCTTAAAAATAAAGTTTTTACTGCAAGTATCACATAAACTTAACACTATTAATGGTCGATGACAATAAGGTCAAGGTCCGGTTTACCCCGGCAGACATACATATATGTGTACTGTACTTCAAAACTCAAGAGTGTACACACTGGAATGCCTCGCCTGTTGTACTGACCATGATTGATTAAATGTTGAAATTCTTAAAAATAAAGGTTTTACTGCAAGTATCACATAAGCTTAACACTATTAATGGTCGATGAAAATAAGGTCAAGGTCCGGTTTACCCCGGCATATACATATACACCTTTTATTCTTTCCATACACCAAATATAGTTGACCTTTTGCTTATAGCATCAAAGAAACAAACCAAGCTGTGAAAATTTAATATTAACCAATGAACGGTTATGAACCATGAAAATGAGGTCAAGGTCAGATAATACATGACAGACAGACATGTAAACCTTACAATCATTCCATACATGTACACCTTTTTAATCTTTCCATACACCAAATATAGTTCACCTATTGCTTAAAATATCTAAATAAACAGTTAACACAGGGACATGTTTTGCCTATTTGTTATTTTGATAGTAAAATGCAAATGTTGAAATTAAAATAGCAATTATTATACTTTAACATGTAAGTTATGCAAAATGTCCAACGTCAACGAACCATGACCGAAGGAACAGGACCAAGCAATCTCCATGGAAATGAGATGTGCCAATGCTAATACATCTGCAGACTAAATATCATTGACCAACCACTAGTGGTTCCCTATAAACTGACCTAATCACAATCTAATACAAATAAACTGAGCAAAAGTTCAGTCAATAGACCATGAATGAGGGGCAGGGCCAAATAATCTCCGTGGAAATGAGATGTGCCAATGCTGATACAACTGCATACCAAATATTATTGACTTACCACTTGTGGTTTCCCATAAACTGACCTCATCACACACTAATACATTGTTGACGCCGCCGCCGCCATTGCAGGATAACAGCATACCTATGTCTCGCTTTTTGACTCTGTCAAGGTGAGACAAATAACCAGGCTTAACAAGGAGTACTGAATATTGACCAACGAACCATGAAAATGATGTCAAGGACAAATGATACCTGCCAAACAGACATGAACACTTTACAATTATTCCATACACCAAATATAGTTAATATATTGCTTATAGTATTTGTAAAACAGACCAAAACACAATACTGTGACTTAACATAGACCAATGAAAATGAGGTCAAGGTCAGATGAAACCAGCCAGACTGACAATTACCAATTACAATCATTCTATACACCACATATATCTCTCAACTCTATACATGATGTAGTTGACCTACTGCTTATAGTATCTGAGATACATGTACAGACCTAATCATGTAGCTTGAACCTTGATCACTGATACATGAATTGAGGTTGTTGTCAGGTGAACCCTGTCTGGCAGACATGTAGACATGGCAAGGAACCCATATACCAAATATAGTTATCACATTGCTCATAGTCAGTCAGAAATTCACATTACAAAATAAAAGAAGAATGTGTCCATGGGATACAGATGACCGTGCATGTAAATTCAGCTATTTTCAATTTTTAAAGGGACATAACTTGTGAACGGTGAAAGTGACGCCACCAAATGTATCTGGTGGTAATAAGCATTGTGAATAACATATAATTGAGGCAAACTAAATTTAGAGTGCGGAAACAGCAAATTTAGCAATTTTACTCCAGAACGGTGAAAGTGACTCCAACAGATTTCAATCTTGATATGTATTTGGTGGTAATAAGCATTGTGTATAAGATTCATAATATTTGGTTGAGGCAAAATATAAAGGAGTTATAATATCTAGAATTTTTGAAATTAGAAAAATATACCATGGCAGGGTGGTCAAAATACCATGGCTAAGTAAAATTTTCAAAACATCTTTTCAAGCATGTAAAATACATACAAACAACTTATTGGAGTATTATTACTATGTAAAGGAGTTAGAATAGCTAGATTTTTTGAAATTAGAGGTGTAAAAGGGGGGTCAATATACCATGCCAGGGGGTCAAAATACCATGGCTAAGTAAAATTTTCAAAACATCTTTTGCAGCATGTAAAATACATACAAAATACTTATTGGAGTATTATTACTATGTAAAGGAATTATAATAGCTAGAATTTTGAAATTGGAGGTTAAAAAAAATATAAATATAGTATGTATTTAACATGCTTGAAAAGATGTTTTGAACATTTTACTTAGCCATGGTATTTTGACCCCCCTGCCATGGTATATTGACCCCCCCTTTTCACCTCCAATTTAAAAAAATCAGGCTATTTTAACTCCTTTACATAGTAATAATACTACAATAAGTAGTTTGTATGTAGTTGACATGCTGGAAAAGATGTTTTGAAAATTTTACTTAGCCATGGTATTTTGACCACCCTGTCATGGTATATTTTTCTAATTTCAAAAATTCTAGATATTATAACTCCTTTATCATGTTTATATAGTAATAATACTCCAATAAGTAGTTTGTATGTATTCAACATGCTGGATAAGGTGTTTTGAAAATTTTACTTAGCCATGGTATTTTGACCCCCATGCTATGGTATATTGAACCCCCTACTATACACCTCTAATTTCAAAAATTCTAACTATTCTAACTCCTTTATATAGTAATAATACTCCAATAAGTAGTTTGTAAGTATTTAACATGCTGGAAAAGATGTTTTGAAAATTTTACTTAGCCATAGTATTTTGACCCCCTGCCATAGTATTGATGCATTAACCCCCTCCCCCCCCCCCCCCCCCACTTTACATCTCAAATTTCAAAAATCATATCTATTCAAACTATTTTACATAGTTATAATGTTGTAAATAGTATTTGGTATATATGAAACATGATGGACAAGATTTTTTTTAATTTTTTCTTAGATACAGTGTTTTTACCTACTCCCCCACCCCCTTGCCATGAACCCCCCTTTCTATACACCTCCAATTTCAAAAATCAAATTATTTCAAAATACTTTTCAAAGTTTTAATACTCTAATTAATATATGTTACATATAAGTCATATTGTTTAGATGTTACAATTTTACTGAGCCATGGTAATTTGAACCCTCCCCCTTTTTCACCAAGGGAAATTTAACTCCCTTTATATGTTAGGATTTCAAATAATCAAAGCATTCAGGGTACATGGTCTAGTCATAATACTTCAATAAGTATTTTGATTGAAATTTTGTTGGTAAAGACTTCAGCATGTTCAGAGCACTTATACCAAGCCATGGTATATTTTTTTCCTACCATGAAAATTTACCTCCCCTCTTGATATGTCTGATTTTCAATCTGTAATAAGCTATAAAATAATGTATAATGCTCTAATAATTATCTAGAATGAAAAAAACAGGGGGGTTCAATATACCATGGGGGTCAATTTTCCATACGGGGGGGGGGGGGGGGGGGGGGTATCATTTTACCATAGCAGAATTTTGACCGGAAATACAAGGTTAGAACCCCCAAAAATTAAAGACTTTATATTAATCCCATTGAAATTGGATATAAGATTTGTATTTATTTTCAATTGAAGATTTCTTGCTATTGGGCAATACTTAATTAATCTGTTAAATATAATAATTTACACATCCTGTTTGGTGTGTATCTCCTGCCATATCAGTATTTGTTGCTTTTATATATAAATCAGAAATAATCAATGTAAAAATGGAAAATTTGGGGGAAAAAAACATAAAAATTATGAAAAAAAAATTCCCCCAAAAAATTTGTTTTTGGTCTTTTTTTGCCCCTAATTCCTGAATGTTTGAGACAATAACCCCCAAACTCAATCCCAGCCTTCCCTTTGTGATATATGGAACCTTGTGGTACAATTTCAGAGAGATTCATACTCTAACACACAAGTTATTGTCCGGAAACTACAAAAATGCTTGTTTTTGGCCCCTTTATCCTAAACTGTTGGTACCATAACCCCCCAAAATCAATCCCAACCTTCCTTTTGTGGTATTGAACCTTCTGGTAAAATTTCATAGATATCCATTCACTTAAACTAAAGTTATTGTACAGAAACCAAATGTGTCTTTGGACGACGACACTGATGACATGATAGCTTTATACGAACGCAAATTTCTTACAAGTAAAAGTACTGGACATGCTGGTAGGTCCTGAACATTTCAGTGTAAAGTCAGATTAATGTTTGACTATTTTTTGGGGGAAAAGAGTCCCAAAAGGTGCAGAAAAGGGACTTGGATTGTACTTTTTTTTTCACAAGGCCCTAGTAAACCAAAGTCCTGGATCTGCCTGTGACTGCCTGCATCTATATATATTACACATACAAATGTCATTAATTATTTATAATTTTAATAGGAAGGAAAATACATCAAGATTTTGCAACTTCCTGTTGTACTTGAGGACTTGAACGTTTATTTCTTGATGCCTGCTTTGCTGCTTTTTTAGCCACTTTTTCTTCATTTCTTTTCATTTCCATAAATTTGATAAACTCTGGACTTCTAGGCTTAACAGCATAGCCGTAATATTCTTCAGCCAGTTCCATCATTTCTTTTCTCTTGATCTCGGCTTCTTCTTCTTTTTCTAATTCTTTCTGCTGTCTGGCATTGAAATCTTTGATTAAAGTGTCCATTTTAGCCATACCTTTTTCTACTTTTGTTAATCTGTAATAAATACAAAACAGAATTGAATGTTAGTCTTGTAATCGTTAGTACTTATTTATTTAATATTTTCATAGTTGAACCCCGTTCTAAAGACATGTAGACCTTGCAAGGATCCCATGTCATATACCACAAAACGGCACAATATATAATAAGTGAGAAATTCACATGACAGCTAAACTAAACATTTTTAAAGTCAGTCGCTGAACCATGAAAATGAGGTGAGGACAATTGGCACTTTCATAACATAATGCATCTGTATACAACAGGTACATGTAAAATGTACATGTATGAAGCATCCAGGTCTTTTACCCCCTGAAATATATAATTTTAAACAAGCAAGCAGTAGCTGCTGCAGACAAAAACTGTGAGTGAATCCTTGAAAGACCCTTAACTGGCAAAAAAGGCACATAGGAGGTGCACAATATATATGAAATACATGTATACCATTAATACATTATTGTACATTGAAATAATTCTCTAGGTTTCATTGAAATCCTGATGGTCCATGTACGTGTACTAGTTTAAGACGTGTTCGGGAAATAAAGTGTCAAGTACATGTAAGAATGAGCAAGTAAACAAAATAACATTAACAGGAGATACATCAAATTAAATAAGCCTTAGTGGCAGTATAATCAATTCAATTCATTTTAGGGGAATTTTGTCATGTCAATTAGGTACAGTGCATGGCCATATGTATTCCTCACTTGTGATTTTTCACAACATATTTCATATAATTATGTGTATTCATACATGTATTAAGAGAAAACAAAAATAATTGATGAAAAAAATACGACCAAATAAACAAATATACTTTAAACAATTCTGTGTCTTTTAGACTTTAAACAATTGGTTTGTAAAACATTGTAAAAGTTCAACAATAAATGCCTTCATAATAAAATTTGAAAGAATTTATTTTAGATGTTTTATATAAAAAAAATTACAATGTTATAGGATTAAACACATTTTTTCTAGAGGTTATAATTATTGATGTGTAAACTGGGGGGATTAACTCACAAACTGAATAAACATGATAAAAGTTGAAGGACTTTTATGTAAAATATGTGAGTCAGCGACCCAGTTTACACATCAATAATCTCTAGAAAAAATGTGTTTAATCCTTATAACTCTTAACCCCAAACATTTGCAATTTTTTATTAATTTTTGGTACATTAATTGGCTACTATTTACCATCAAATGCACAATTGACATTTCATAACTAAGGAGTACGCCACCATATTGACTTTCTGAAATCCATAAATGTTCGATTAATGCAATAGAATCTAAAATGAAATAACATCTACCTCAAAAACTTCATTTTAATGAGATATTATTTAAATTTGAAACATACAAGAAACGGAATAATCTTCATCTTTTAAGAGTTTTCATTCCCATGATGTCAAGTTTTCCCATGCCGTTAATGTGCCAAGCTCATTCATGAAATTTTGCGGAATTTTATATTATTGTAAATTTATACATTTTCCAACATGTCCAAGCTTTAATGCGTTATTTCTTTTTATTATTCATTAGAATAGAAATAACAGTTATGTATTTGTTTTTTCAATCTCAATTTGCTTGAACACCTTGATCCCATGCATTTGTATCGCACATGAATAGATCACAATGAAGGTAAATGTACAAAAATAGTTTCGGCAACATGGTCTATTGAAGTGTATACCAAGGGAAAAAATGCTAAGGAACCAATCCAATTCAAGTATTTGTAGATACATGTATGCAAATCATATAAGAATTATATAGTAATCAAAGTAGCCCTGTGACAAATCATACAAAAAGATAACTTTCGAATTTATGCACTTCTCTTTCCTGTAAATTTCCTATGTCACAATACTTATGTTATTACATCACAGTAAGAACTGATTGTTGATGACATCATTTACGCCAATTGACCTTGGGTGAACCGGTGTAATTCATTAAAAATAAAACTTGAGATTGGTGTATACTTTTGGCCCAAGAATCCGGGTCCGTTCGCCCTGATTTGTGTTTGCCCTAGTACCTGTTCGCCCTAATACTCGTTCGCCCTGAGTCCGTTCGCACTTGAATTTTTATTTTATTTTGTTGTCTTGTTGTACATGTATATTATTATTTGAAAAGAGTATGTTAAAGTTTGTTGAAAATTTTGCTGAATATTTATGCTGTATTACTGCTACCAAAATAATATTTTCCTTTGATCTGCACTGTAGCGTACCAGGAATTCAAGGTATTTGATATAAAACAACTGAAGACCATGTTATCTGCATATATTTATCTCTATTGATAAATGTTAACAATTTCAGAACTATCATTAACAGTCATAACAAAATCCAATTCGAACTTCACATCACAAACCAGTTATGTCCTTAATTTTTTACACTATTATTTTTAAAGAGCACATATTTTTTATATCGGAAATGTGTCAAAACGAACTTGAGATCAAAGAACCCAAGATGTGTGCGAATCAAAAATCCCTTTTATGGTTGTACTTCGTACATCGTTGTTTTTACTCATTCCAAGCTGACTAGTTTATTTTTAAAAAAAATTACTTTCATTATTAATCCAACAAAGATAATTAGTATAAAAATAAGTGAGCTCAAAAACATCATGATTATACCTAATCAGCATTCTAAATAATTAAAAGTGGGAGAAACAGATATCATATGTCACCCTAAATTACAATCGACAGCCATTAAAATTAATTCTAAAAAAAATAAATTTAAGAATGAAGCCCATTAACAATGATTAATGCTCCAAAACAAGCCATTCATTTTTAAACATTTCCATGTTTTTTCATAATTTCGAGAATATATATTTTCTGTAATATTGATCATGATCATATAAATATCTGAATATGTTTATTAAACCTTAATACCACTATATTAATTTTGTTTAAAAGTAGGGCGAACGAACCCAGGGCAAACAGACTCTATGGGCGAATGGACTCAGGGTGAACGGACCCAGGGTGAACATGTAATCAGGGCGAACAGACCCAATACCCTTTTGGCCAAGCACTGTATGTACTTGTACAAAAATGTACACTGACAGTTCTATGTCTCATGTCATGAAAATCAAATGCTTACACATTCATATTGAATTCAGCTTCCTTCCTCTTTTCTTCTTTAAGATCTGCTAACATCTGTTGAAATGATGGTTCAAAAAACTTATCATCTTCTTTGATCTCTTCGAGCTCCTCTTTTGAAGGCCAACAAACCCCGGCATCAATGTCAATAGCACTACCATACTTAGCATAGAGTTTTCTCAGAAATATTTTTCTTTTAGTGTTATCTTTAAAAGTCATTTGTTCAAGTCGTTCCCGATCTGGTAATTTTCCATGTTCCTTGTCTTGAAGGTATTGTGGCAAATTTGAAAAATTTCTCAACCTTTCTATCACGGACTCTTTTTCTTCGAATGTTTCTAATTCATCTGGGAGTGCTTGTGGTTCTGGTGCCTCTGCGGAACTGATATGTCGACAATATTGTTTGTTCCTATATATTTTTTGCAGTAACCGAGTGCTATTACTTTTTGTCAAGAAATTAGTTAGCGAACTAATTTTCACCATGGAAGCTGCCATTTTTAATATGGGAGACAATCCATTTTCATATGAACGATAAGTTAAAAGCGCGCGGAATTTAAATCACAAGAACAAAGTAATAAAAGTCGTTGCATGCCTGTATATTGATAAATCTGATCGATTTTGGACTTTGAAGATGTTATTGTTCTCTGTCGATTTCGAACGACTAATAACAAATTGTCTATTGAAACAGGAAGGTGGCAAAACGTATCAAGAGAAAACCGTTTTTGTCTCCGCTGTAACAATCGACAAATTGGAGACGAATATCATTATATATTCCAATGTACTATTTTTCGAACAAAAACCGTGAAGAGCATGTACGGTACCTCATATTTTGTAAAACGTCATAATACAGTTGAATTCACTGAACGTACGTCGAGTACGCGAAAACCCGCAGTCCTGAACATGCTGGCTTGAAAAGCTTTGTTCATTTATGAGGGTAGGAATGCCCTTTACCGTCAGGCTTCAAACGGCCATGTTCGGCTACCGTTAGCGTCAATTTGGTTAAAAATTTTACCGTGATTCGTCAAAATATCCTTATCGTGATTCGTCAGAGGTCTCAAATTATTATCGTTACCGATATTTTTGTAAAAATATTAACGTGATTCGTCAAAATTAGTCAATTTTTTTATCGTCTCAAAGAAAGTGTACATTTTATCGTCATGCATCAAAAATTACCGTTTACGTCATTTGGCAAGAAATTTTACCGTCATTCGTTATGAAGATGCCCCCATTACGATCCTCATTTATGAAAAAGTATTAATACTTGTGGTTGTCCTTCTGGCTAGTGACTTTTGTAACTACTCTCCCTTGTTTTGTATATATTGTAAATAGTTATTGTTGTTATCTCTGTACTGATGTAATGTATTGGCTTTATGAGAATAAAGATATATATATATCGATATAGCATAGATATAAAGACAAGGGACAGCACTCGTCAGTCTAGGTTTATGATTTTCTTAAACTAATTAATTATTTTATTAATATCGTTTTTTTAGTAACCTTTGACTTGGGACTATTATACTAACAATATATTATGTCCCAGATTTGACGAACAGAAAAATGAATGAAATATGTGAAATATATTCTTATAATTTTCTTGGTTGCTATCCTTGCAAAATAAAGAAAAGACATAGAAATAAAGGCAAGTAACATATACCTACCGATCACAGAGTATCAAAGCACCGTCAGTTGCAGGCAAGCACTGTTACAGTATAAAATTATAAAAAAGCAGAAACAAGAGACACCGAAGAGCCTGTGTTGCTCACCTGCATGAGTCTTATGTGTATCTTAAAAAAATGGCCACACTTCAATATCATGGAATAAAATATAATTCATGTCTAAAATTCTCTTTTCTTGTTAATAATTTTTGTTTAGTTTCCCCTAATATAGTTTTGCCAAAAAATGGAAATATGGTAAAAAAAATCATCATCTTGTTTGGAGAACAACTCCGAATTTAAAAGGAGTAAACTAATAATTTCAGCTATGTGAAATATTTGTAGATTATGTCTTGTCTTGCTGATCATTTTTATTATTTAAAGTTCTCTCTAACTATTATAATTCTCAAGATAATTTGCAAAAAACGCAACAAAAAATGGGGAAAAAATCGTCATTAAAGGGCAATAATTCCTATAAGGAGTCGAAGGACAATTCCGGCGATGTTGGGTTATATGTAGATCTTATCAGACTTGTTGATCATTTTAGACATTTAAAGGTTTTCTCTTTTTATTTTAGTTTTCAAGATAATATTCAAAAACACAAAAAATGGTAAAAAAAAAAAATCGTCATTTGAGGGCAATAACTCGTCTAAGGAGTCGACTGAAAATTTCGGCCAGTTTAATTTGTAGATTTTTGTCTTTCTGATAAGTTCTGTTATTAAAAGTTTCTTTTTATCCATTATTGTTCTCATGGAAATAAAATTGATCCTGATAACTTCAGAGCAATAACGTTAATTAGCTGTCTAGGAAAATTTTCACATCAATTATTAATTCTGGGTTAATTTTTTTTGTCAACGAAATTTTCATAATTCCATATAATCAAACAGGATTTCGAAAAAGGTCACTCTACAGCTGATAATTTGTTCGTATTTGTTCGTATATCACTTCATCAGTCTTTTGGAAAAAAAATATTTTGCACATTTGTCGACTTCCGCAAGGCCTTCGACACTGTATGGAGGAGTGGTTTGTGGAAAAAAAATTGCAGAAGAGTGGCATAAAGGGCAATTTTTTTACTGTTATATGTTCATTATGTATATTAATATAAAATCATGTGTTCAATATAACAACGACCAGTAAGAATATTTTCAATGTCTTACTAGTGTTAGACAGGGTGAAAATTTGTCCCCTCCCTCTTTTCTATTTTTCTAAATGACATAGAACAGCTCTTTACTGATCATGAATTAGGTTAATATTTTTCAAAATTACTGTGAATTATGGAAACTGGAAATGAATGTTACAAAAACGAAAAAAAAATGATATTTAGCAAACGCAAAGTGTGACGAAAATTTGAATTTAAATTACAGGGCAAACATATAGAAATAGTCGATACCTACTCATATCTTGGTCTAATATTTAAATGTAATTGAAATTTTTTAGAAGCACAGAAAAGACTTATTAACCAAGCACAAAAAAGCCTTAAACAGCTTGTATAGAAATATAAGAAATCATTCCATTAGATCTACAGCTAAAACATTTTGATGCCATGGTGAGAGTCTATTTTATTATATGGTTGTGAGATTTGGGGGTTCGAAAACTTGAAAACTTTAGAACAAATTCACTTAGGTTTTTGTAAACGAATTTTAAAAGTAAGGTCTACACATCGCATTATATGTTCTATGGAGCATTAGTCGGATTTCCATTAGAAATAAATTTAAAGTTAAAATAAGAATGGTATCATTTTGGAGAAAAATATTGCAGGGTAAATAAGTAAATGTAGTAATATGTATAGATTATTATTTTAGTTTAAAGCAAAATTGTAGTCAGTCCTTCAAATGGTTGAATTTTATTGTATCAATATTAAATGATACAGGATTAGGATATTTATTTGTCAATCAAGATAGTTCTGACTATAAAGATCTTATAAAACAGGTTTTACAAGACCAATATATTCAAAAATGTTATTCTAAAATTATATTAAGATGTTCAATTATCTTCCCGTGGTGTATTTTATTCATGTTTTAAAGAACTTTTAAGTTTTGAAAATTATTTAATAAAGATGCCGGAAAACGAAAGAATCTGGAAATAAAATTAAGAACATCTAACTTAAAAAATCCCATTCAAACTGGGCGTTGGCATAATCCAATCATTTGATTCCTTGCCTTACGTTATATAGTAGCACCAGATTGCTGTGTCTTATATATTCTGCCATTCTATGAATTTCTCAGATTTCTAAATGGTAAAAAATAACTTTCTTTTCAAAGTAGCCAGTCAGGCGATCATTCGATATGTTTTAGCTAAAAGTTTATAAAAAGTTTCGTAGATTTTTGTTTCTATCTACGGAAAATGAGAAAGTTGATTTTTTTGTGTTTAATTTGAATTAGATAAGGCTAAACAAAGTCACTGACCGACTCTCTTTTAACTGCGTGCATATGCTTCTAGTAATGTCATTATCTTGTATGTCAACAACATGAGTTCACAGAAGTGTTTTGTCATGTGGATGTAGGTATGGAAAGCGGACTTCAGGAGTTTTTTTGTTATTTGTTCGTCCCAAAATTTCTTAAAATGAGCATTTTTGGGTTACGCAAACTGAAGCAGCACAGAGGGCCAATTTTGTTTAGTTGCGTGCCTTTGAGCCAACATCAAAGAAACAAAATTTAGACATCTCAACTGTTGCTTTTCATAGGTTATTCAACAAAACGTCAAACATAATCATTTTTGTCTGTGTTTACACATTTTCAACGATCACCATGTAGCACAGATCAGGACCAATGCACCAGCACAAATCAGGACCAATGCATGCGCACCAGCACAGAATATTCTTTCCAGGACAACCTTATCAACCATGGTGTTGCTCAGTCTATAATTTGCTATGTTGTGTTTTGTAAACTTTTTTTGTCTTTTGTACGTTTATCCGAGGTTTTTTTGCCGACATGCCGTTGTAAGCTTGTCTGACATATGAGTTTGAATATCCCTTTGTTATCTTCCGTGTCTTTCGAATTAGGTTAAGGCTTTTCAAATATTTCGACGTCGGGCATCAGAGAAGATACATTAATTGTCGAAATGGACATCTGGCGCAGTAAAATTCGTACTGTTAATGCTATTATTTATATATTTATGCAAAATTTCTTTAGAAAAAAACTTTGACAGTCTGTTTTCATTATAAAAAAAGTTTGGGAGGGAAAATGTTGCACAACTAACTCATGATGTACTATCAAACCAAACTACGAAAATCGCCCCAACCAGGCAGTAGAAAAAAGACGTCCCGTGGTTAAGCGACGAAAACTTGGAAGAGATAACAAGGACTTGATATCAGTCGCCAATGTAGTTGAAACAAAATACAAATTGATATTCTTTTGGAACGAAAAGTGTGGCTGCACGTACTAGAAAAAACTCCTTCAAGTTATACCAGGACTTAAAAATTATAAGAGATACATAATCCTCATACTAATGGTCTTAGTTATCTTATCAATTTCAAAACAATGAAATAACAGAGATGATGTTTGATGACTCCTGGACAAAATCGGTATTTGTGAGAGAACCGAGAGAGCGAATATTGTCATGTTATCTAGAGAAAGGATAAGACAATTTTCATATGATATATAATTGTGATCGCACCGAGAAATCATTTTTAGAGGTTCTAAAAATTGGTAAGACCTGCAACGATCCCCATTGGGAGTCGCAGGTAAGGGTCCCGAAGTATTTCTATAAGAATATGATGATTGGCAAAATACCTGATATTTTAACCTTTACTGAAAAACTTGTAAAAATAGGAGCTTGGAATGAAAGCGTTAAAATTTGGATATATTCAAAAGACGGTAAAAAGAAAACAAGGTATCATGCGAAAAAAGCTAATGATAAATTGTTTCAATACTACAATGATAATAAATATTCAAAATATGATTTTTAAAAGGTATGCAGATGATTATGAGGTGTTTAACTTTAAAAAGAAATACTTTAAATTTGACGAAAATCTTCAGAAAAATTAAAACACTATCGAACATTGACATATGATGGACAATTATTTTGTTTATTCTGTTGAAAAATAAGTTGCACATTTCTCATGTTATTGGATTTCATTTCAAATTGCCTTTTTTATATAATGAAAACGGACTATCAAAGGTTTTCTTCTAAAGAAATTTTGCATAAATATATAAATCATAGCATTAAAAGTACGAATTTTACTGCGCCAGATGTCCATTTTGACAATTAATGTCTCTTCTGTGATGCCCGAGGTCGAAATATTTGAAAAGCGTACACCTAATTCGAAAGACACGGAAGATAACAAAAGGATATTCAAACTCATATGTCAAAGACAAGCTTACAACGGCATGTCGGCAAAAAAAAACGTAGATAAACGTGCAAAAGACAAAATAAGTTTACAATACACAACATAGAAAATAAAAGACTGAGCCAATGAAAAGCAACAGTTGAGATGTCTAAATTTTGTTTCTTAAATGTTGGTTCAAAGGTACGCAACTAAAAAAAAAATGGCCCTCTGTGCTGCTTCAGTATATATGTTTGATTAAGGAAATGGATAGGAGGTACAAGAAGACAAAAGATTCCGGACAAGAAGGATAACGAACAGACCTCTTTCAACTGATTTTTATAGTTCGTTCTTTTGTTGTACTGTTACACTACTGTCCCAGGTTAAGGGAGGGTTGGGATCCCGCTAACATGTTTAACCCCGCCACATTCTGTATGTATGTGCCTGTCCCAAGTCAGGAGCCTGTAATTCAGTGGTTGTCGTTTGTTTATGTGTTACATATTTGTTTTTCGTTCATTTTTTGTACATAAATTGGGCCGTTAGTTTTCTCGTTTGAATTGTTTTACATTGTCATTTAGGGGCCATTTATAGCTGACTGTGCGGTATGGGCTTTGCTCATTGTTGAAGGCCGTACGGTGACCTATAGTTGTTAATTTCTGTGTTATTTGGTCTCTTGTGGAGAGTTGTATCATTGGCAATCATACCACATCTTCTTTTTTATAGATAAAAGATGATGTGACAGCTGGTTTAATCAATATTCAATTTTCGACTTGCTCAATATTGATTTGAATGTTAAGGAATATGGTGAGGATTTGAAAAGCGAGTTGACCAAATTTCGAGGACGTTTCGGTAAGTTTTATATTCTTCTTAAAAACTTTACATCAGTCATATTGGATATCAGTATATGACTGTATTATTGGCCTCGTCCTATCGATAAGCGGAGCGAAGCTTCCTTGTGGGAACTAAACGACGATAAACAAATGCCAAACTGGATACAGCCTATTTGGCCATGTAGTCAAGTCGCTAGGCAAACTGTATACTGGGTAGCGATTGAAGTCTCAGAAGCTTATGGAACGATACTTACATGTAAAAATAAAGAGATGTGGTATGATTCCAAATGAGACAACAATCCACAAGAGACCAAAGGATGTGGATGTATAAGTAACTATAGGTCACTGCACGGTATAAAAGGACTCGGCATTACAAAAAGTAAAATATATAAAGTATCTGTAAATTGACGATGAGAAAAAGACGGAGAAAATAAATATTTGTTTATTAAGAATATTACCAGTGTGGGGCTAGTTTTGCTTTAAGAAATCCGATTTTAATTTAGTCAGCATATATTTAGCTCAATAAATTCGGAGTATGTATGTGTACAACTTCAAAATAAATGTGTTACGTTTATATAAAAAAAATAATTGAGGAAAGACTTTAAAGACTGAACAAAGTTAAGTGTGTTGTGTCTAGTATCATAATAACTATTGATAAAAAAAAAAAACAAAGACGCAACTTAACAATACGAATAATTGATGAATACTCGCAGGAAATACAGAGTCCCTAAATGAGGGTCTGGTTGGGGGTTTACAGAATAGAGAATAAATGGCAAAAAATATAAAGAATAGAGAAAAAAGGACCGAAAAAAAGAGAAAAATGGGGTGCTAAAGTATAAAAAAAAAAATAGAGAATAATGGGCAAAGAGTATAAAGAATAGAAAAATGGCCTAAAAATTAAAGAATACAGAAATGAAGGATCCCCCATCCAGACCCTTCTAAATGTCATTATCGTATTATCGGTAGGAGTATACGTTTTTTTTCAATGCACGTAGACGATTAACTGACCTGTGGTATATGTGGACTAACCGACAAATTAATTTTGTTCTCGTATCTACTAATACATCTTAAGTATCCTTACTTTTTGCCAGAACATACTTGTTTTATTCTATTGTGTCAATAGGAAAATTAATTGCAATAACAACGGGGTCTTAATTGTATGCACTACATGTAGCATAACTCTTCTAATATTTTAAGAATCCACACTTGTTTCACAACAGTCCTTCAACATTAACTTGGGCAGAGATGTCAAGGAAAAATAACAAATCTAGCGACAAACCATTATTTTTATGGACTTTTATGTAAATTTGGATTTTCGTTAGAGACAAAAAAAAAATCATTCTTCATCATATTTTTTTTCTTTTTTTATCATATTTTTAGCATTAATATGATAGTTTTAGTACATATGTAACTAGCGGATCCGGAAGTAAACTAGCCATATATTCACACCCAGGCTTCTGTGTCATTTGGTCTCTGGTTGAAAGTTGTCTCATCAACAAATGGAAGTTTTTAACAACCTTGACTGGCTATACAGCCCTTGCACGGTCGGTGTTGTCTCATTGGCAATCATACCACATCTTATTTCATATGATAACCCATTTCAGCCCTATGTGACGTCCCTTGGTCGGGCTGATATGGGATTATCAGCCTGGGTGCGTTCGAACATCGGAAGTATATGATAAAGATATTTTAAATTATACATGTCCTTTTCCATATCGACCCGAGTATCATCCCTCAACTAACGCCCCAGGTTTATATTGGGGTCTCGGGACGATACCCGGGCCGATATGAAAAGGGCCGTGTATCAATTTTTATGTAATATTCGGGCGATTTTATTTTACAAAATAAGATACATGTATGCTCGTCCTAAATCAAGATAATTTTTTTAACTCGTTTGGCTTTTCTTTTCCAATAAGCAAAATTGTACTAATTCTACTAATCTGTCTAAGTTTAAAGCGAGGAATAATTCTGTATTAGAGACTTTATCTGTTGTCTTGTCATATAACTTAACCTAAAGTTAAACTCTCATTCTTCTGATGTAGTTGTTGATGATTGCTGCACAATCCCTCCTTCAGTCTTTTCTTATTCATTGTTTATCGTTGGAAATTTAATGTCTGTGTATGTTTTGGTTTATTTTCTTTTTTATCCAACATAACTATGTTAATTATTTGGGTGATTTTATCATCTTTTGATCAGTAGTTTTTATTTTTTCATCCCGTGACTCTTTCTATTCTAGTTGTAGGCCTACTGCAATATAAAATAAGGAGAAGTGATATGCTAGCCAATGAGAAAACTATCCACAAGGAACGAAAACGTGCTCGTTCAGATCCTCAATCTGTACTCCTTTGTTATCATCTGTATATCAAAAAAGTAATATAACAATCTTCCAGAGTGATGAATTTTATAAAATTAAGGAGATGTGGTATGATTGCTAATGAGACGACTATCCACCAAAGTACAAATGAAGTGGACATGGTGGATGTAAGCAATTAAAGGCAACCGTATAGCCTTCAATAATTATAAAAACCCATACCGTATAGTCGGCTATAAAAGGCCCCGACATGAAAATATGAAACATTTCAATTGAGAAATTTACTCTATTTTTGTTATGTAAAGATCGGAATTTTAGAATTCCCTGGGCATTATGGAAACGACCATAAGATATATTCAAGAGTGTAGGAGGGGATGAGGGAGGGGGATTTTTAAAATGACTTTTCTGCTATTTTGTCCTAGTAAGAACTGAAAAAGAAAGTCGAAAGATACCAAAGGAACATTCAAACTCATAAGTCGAAAATAAACTGTTTTAACACCATGTCAAAATAGAAAAAAATAACAAAAGACGAACAACATTATACAAAACACAACATAGAAAAATAAGACTCAGCAACACGAACCCCGCCAAAAACCGGGGTGATCTCAGGTGCTACGGAAGGGAAAGCAGATCCTGCTCCACATGTGGAACCCGTCGTGTTGCTCATTCAAGTACAAACCCATTAACGTCTAATTCGGTAGGTCACATTCGGGGGAAAGAGGACAGTATTTTGGTTACGACAATTGGAGTATCCGTCGTCATCTGTGAAACAGATATTCCTTAAACGGTCAACCAACTCGTGATTTACGTTCGAAAATATATAACTTGGACAAAAACATGAGGAACATATTTTTCCAAACAAAATGTTGGAAATAAATGTGTATACAAAAATGAAAAAAAAAAGTCTTCGCAAAGCTGCGCAAAAAAGCGACACTCGCAAAAACTGAGAACGAGCATTTTGTTAGAAGAAAATCCTCCTGCCTCCCCTCTCCCACTCATTCATATCACATGATCGTCACCTAAAGATAAGAGTACCCTTTATAAAACTATCATAGATTGCTTTTTAACAAAAAACCAAGAGTAGGAATCAGCGAGGTCGTTGATACAAATTAGAATTTTAAAACTTAACGGGTTTATGAATACTCATGCTACCTATATATATGCAGATGTTTAACGGCACATGGCAATTATAAAGTTTTTGGTAGGATTTTATGCACTCACGGCAAGCCCGCTTCCAGTAGACCACCAGAATGAACAAAAAACATTAGAGAAACAATTAAAAGATGAAAAACTGTATATACTGAAAATTAAAAAAAAAAAAAAATTCCATTAAAATGAACTATTTTATCAAATAATTTTAATGTATATATACTTAGAACTAATACATAAGTGGAATGAGTAAACACATTACAAACCGGATTTGTTTCAACATATCACTTTCTGAACTATTGTATAAAATAATTATTATATATATAAATATATACTTATGACTAATTTATAATAAGTCTGATGCATAGTAAATAAATTGTCAACCGGATTCTTTTGTCTGATACAGATCACCTATATTATGCCAATGATAAACAACCTAGCAGTGATATGTGACACAACACTGCTCAAAATCTCTCATTTGTCACATGTATTTAATGTGTATGACTTAAAATTTTGTGTTTTCTTCACTTAAACTTGTATCCGAGTCATTATCATTTTGTTCACTTTTCGGAGATTGTTCTTCTGTTTCTCCTACACTATTAGTTTCCTCTATCGATGATTCTTTTTCAATGTCATCATCATTGACGTGTTCGTCATTTTTGTGTTCATTTTTATCACTTTTTGAATTTATTGACGAACTATCCGAAACTAGTTTATTTTCTGAACTTGCCCCTGATCCATTATCCGTAACTTTATCAAGGTCAGTATAATGTTTTTCTACACTGTCTTTAACCTCAACACTTTCAGCTCGATTGCGACCATGATGTTCATCATCACTAATACATAACTCGTCTTTTTCGCATATACTTTCTAAGTTTTGATTACTGATATTATTATCTGCTGTAGTATCTGGAACCACAATATTTATACCACCATTTTCCTCTTTTAGGTTGTCAGATAGATCTATCGTCACGAAGCCATCTTGTTTGTCGGGTAATTCAGCAAATACATTCTTATTACATTCCTCTGAATCTGAGTATCTCGGGGATTTTATCACATCTCCTGTAACTACCTAAAAATAAAAGAAAATATTTTCACCCAATAATTATTATAAGTTTACATATTAATAATATTTCCATATGACGGCTCTATGACGCCAAATAGTTGCATTACATAAACTCATTCGTCTTTGTGTTTTTTGTTTTTTTGTTTTCTTTTGTTTTGTTTTTCTTTTTTTGGGGGGGGGGGGGGGGGGGTGTTTACAGGTATTTTTTAAATAGATTGTTTAACTCTTAATTTCTTGAAAAAAATAATGATTTGTTTCTGACGAGAAGTTAAAATTTGAATAGTTTTTTATCTATTGAAAAAAGCAACATTGATCTTTAAACAAGTTCTGCTTCCTGTATGCTATTGAAAAATGGTTTTTGTCATTATTAAAATTGAAAAAAGGTGCTTCCCGACAACAACAAAAACCAATACCCCTCCCTCCCCTCCACACACAAAACTTGTGTGGTCGGTGCCCAAAATGTCGCATATTGGTGAGCTGGTTTTAGTCAATCCGTACTGCACGAGTATTCATACCAAATCTAAATACATGATGAATTATAATTGGAAAACTTTATGTGAAAAATAAATAAATGTGAAAGTTAGAATGCGCCTTTCTTGGAGATAACTAACCCAAAAGTTTTGGTTATTTTTTTTTTAAATCTTATTGGTCAAGTCTCAAATTGTATTTTGGACATTATTTAAGACTAGCGACACTTGTGCATATCTGAGTCCGTAAGATTTATGAAATTTGGATCGTTTGCAACAAGTTACGACTCTCAAGCTATTTTTTTTTATCAATGAGTCAATATCACTGTAGGTGAACTTATAGTTCACAAGGAAAGACACCACATAATAGTTATAACTTCAGCACTTATGTCCTATATTGATTGGAATTTACACTTCGTGAGAATGTAAAGCTTAAAATTGATGTAAAAGTAGAAAAAATCTGAATGGTTAATATGTTCAGTTTCATCTTTGACGCTCTTTTAAACCATCCACCTGTATATAATTATGAATAAAAATACGGAGATGTGGTGTGATACCAAAATCTTCCAGAGACCACATGAACTGGCTGTAGTTCACCATACGACATGCGCCAATGAGCAAAACCCATATCGTATAGTAAGGCACATAAGGCCCCGACATGACAAAATATAAAACAGTCCAAACAAGAAAAACAACGATTTGTTCTTTTCTTTTCCGAACTTTTGTCAAACTAAAACACGATAAACTCGGGCAGCATTGCTTGAAAGTAAATACCTTGCCATTGATAAATGTTTATCATGCTTGAAAAATAGTGTATAAAGTTCAATGTTCTAAACTTCACGACGTGATACAGAAAAATCCTCATTTGTTCTGTTGCATGCCGGTATAATAAATGTGTCTACTTTCACAACAGGTGTAATTTGTATGTAATGTCTAGTATTTATACCCTTTAGCAACTGGTTGGATATACCGGTATACTTTTACTATAGGTGTATATATTCGTCATGTAATACGATTGTATAATTAAATCGAACAACGCAAAAAAAGGCAAAGTGCAATTCCTTGATTTGCCGAAGGCCGTACGGTAACCTATAGTTGCCCGCATCTGCGTCATTTAGTCTCTGGTAGGTATTAGTCTCATATTACATTGACATGATGCCACATATTCTTATTTTTATATTGACTGGATTCTTGGATTTAACTTGTGACCTGGACAAATTCAATTTATATAAAATAAATAGCGCACCCAAGGGCCAAGAGAAATAAACAGCGCACTCAAGGACCAAGAGAAATAAACAGCGCACCCATGGACCAAGAGAATGAAGACGAAGAAAAATTTAGCAGTCCACTATTAAAACACTAAACAAAAAACTAAGGAAATGAGCTCAACTTAATATTTAGAACCCTTGGTGCAACAATTTCGTTATAAACACCAACCCTCTGTCACATGACCCTGATAGAAATCAAAAGCCTTGGAATATCTTAATAACTCGCAGTTGTAACTTATGCAAAGTATAAGTGTTGTTTATACAGGCGGATTGGTTTCTTCCATGAGATGGGGCAGTTTATCCCATTATAAGGTCAAAGGTCGTGCCTAATTTGGTCTGCCTGATTATCAGGGATTATGTTCTTAAATTACATTTGCAGGCTGCCGGCTTCTCAGTTTTGATTTAGCTGTTGAATACAAAGGACGTTAACTCTATATATATATATATATATATATATTGTAATAACTCGCAGGTATATAATAAGATATTTATGATATGCTATGTAGCAATGCGTTAGAAGAATAGAAATATCACAATCGTAATGTTTAAGTCATTCTTTTGAGTTAAAGTTTAGTTCTCATCCAATCCTCACTGTCAATGTCTCGGTTATAGTGAAAAAATACCTAACTCTGCTTTTGTTATATTTTATTGCAGGCCTAAAAGATAGCTACAACTATCATAGTCACCAAATGTGTATTAATTTGATTTTTAGTTGTTAATTTTGAAACTCGAGTAACAATGTTGAAATTTGAGTTTTAAGAAATGTGCCAAAAGATAAAAAATAAAAAAAATATAAACAAAGAAGGTTTAAATTGGTCATTTGGGTCTTTGATTTCAGTAGAAGTTAAAATATCAAAAACCCAAATTTATTTTGAAAAATTGTTAAGCGTTACACGAAAAGCTAGACAAAGCGATATAATTATTCACTATCTCAGTTTCAGTCATAACTGACTACTGTTACAGATTATTTTTTTGTAAGATTTTGTCTATAAACCATTAAAAACTAATTATGTATTTCATACAACCTTCATATGAAATAGTTTCAACCTATTTTTGACATACCATTGTCGTTAATTACAAATGAAGAATTTAATAAAAATTGTTTTAAATATGATTTATTGAAATATGATTTTTCACTGAGTTCTATTTTTTAAACACGTGCAAGTAGATGGAATCATTATTAAGACTAGTTTTTCAATAAATTTGTTAAAACATTAAATTGTTAATTGTATTAAAGAATCGCTATTGTTTGTATTTATCTATTTATTGGGATAATTTTCCATTGCTTTGTTTTGATTTTTTTTAAGCAAGAGGTCTGATTTGTATTGAATTATTAAGAATAACAACAAACGGGAAAAATTTATTGCATCCATAATGCATCTCATTTAGTACGGAAATTTGGATATTACTTACCGGATTATCATTAAAACTGACTTTTCCTCTTTCTTTCCTCCTCTTTTTATAGCTTCTCCTACAAATAGAAATACAAATTTGATATAATGTACCCCGGTCAAGTACAAATTAATCAATGCAGAATAAAAAGGGGGAACAAAAACTTGATTTTAACCCCGCAACATATGCATGTGCCTGTCCCAAATTAGAAACCACGTCAGCAGTAGTTGCTCTTTGGTATGTTTTAACAAAATGTTTTTCATTTGTAGAATTTGTAGTTGATGGCAGATATTTAATAGTCTCTAATAAATCAATACTCTCCTTTCTATATGTTCTAGTGATTTAGAGCTTGACTAGCATCTAAACTTGTTTGTTATTTAAACTGTATGTGGACCTGTAGTGGTTTCTTCCTGAGTTACTCGATAGATGTCTCATTGACTCATATCTAACATTTCATTTTATCAATATTGTGTTGATAGAAATAAGAAGATGTGATATGAGTGCCAATAAGACAACTCTCCATCCAAGTCACAATGTGTAAAAAGTAAACAATTATAGGTCAAAGTACGGCATTCAACACGGAGCCTTGACTCACACCGAACAACAAGCTATAAAGGGCCCCAAAATGACGCTGTTTGTTCAGTGCACGAATTTCAAGGGTTTCTGATCTCTGTATATCGGTCCACAAGCCTCGTTTTCAAGTGGAGAAGAGTAGAGAACCTTTTTCCTATCACTTTCACGGTGGGTATATAGTTCGCTTTCTTAAATTATAAAGAATAATAGGTTATACTGTTAGAAAAAAACATGAGAAAAAAAAAAGAAAAGTAAAGACGTCTGTGCTTTTGGTAAATGTTTTTTCCTTTGTATCGATCTGATGAGTTAAGCTCTTTTCTACTTGGAAATCATACCACATCTCCTTATTTTTATAATGAGAAAAAGAAAAAGGAGAAGAAGAAAAGCAAGTCAACTGTTGAAAATACATTCTTTAGAAAGTTGTTTTCTTGTCAAAAGTTTCGTTTTGAAAAAAAAAAACTGTTGTAGAAAGCTTCAGATTTTGAAATAGCTAATTAAATACATTTGAATATCTGTAAATATCCCTTTTTCGGCTTTTGCTCCAAATGGTTTATATATATCGGCTTTCCAAAACATCTTGCCATGTGCATATAAAAGATAAAACAACCAAGAGATACTAAAACATAAAGATAAAAAGATGAAAACTGACCCATTTTTCAAACCTCAGATGTGTCCATGAAGGAATAAGTAGAGACAAAATAAAATAGAAATAAAAACGTCGAGACTAAATGAGGTCAGGGCAATCATTATATTTATTTTTAACACTGACTGAGTATGACAATGATTTTCTCAATAAGGCGAGGGTCGAGATCGTATTAACCATTTTAATATAGAAATTATCTTTTTCAAAAACTTAAGTACTAAAAAAGCCCATACCTAATTCGCCGTTTCAGAATAAATAAATTAAGTAATCTCAATTGAATTGTTACCAACCGACCGTGCAAGACCCTCATGGGTAGTCAAGGTCGTTAAAAAACCCCGCGTCGTCGAATATTAACATAATAATTGTAGCTTGTGACAAATATAAATCATGAACGAGCATAAACCGGATTTGAATCCCCCCCACCCTATCCTCAGACCCAAATAATGTTTAATAAAGGATCTGATCTTTTCATTTTATGCAGAGTTTAGGGATTTACCAGGTCTAGGACACATAGTTTTTCATTATCAGAAAAATTTCGATAAATAGGATTCTCTTTAGTAATTTCATTAAGATATTTACATGATTTACACGTAATAATATTAACGGTACCAACTTTATTGCACCAGATGCGCATTTCGACAATAAATATCTCTTCGGTGATGCTCGATGACAAAATATTTGAAAGTCCAATACCTAATACAAACACTGAAGAGCTGATAAAAAAAAGACCAAAAGTAATAGCCAAACCCGGACAAAATGTTTCTTTGACAGTATATATGGCACGCCTGAACCACTTTTATAGATAATCCTAGATTATCTCAGATAAACTAGGATTATCTCAGATAAACTAGCATTATCTCACTATTTTACATTAAGCTCAGATAAACCGGGATTATCACGATTTTTTTCAGATAATCCCGATTTATCTCAGAATTTTAAGATAAACCGAGATTTTCTCAGCTTAATGCATATTTGAGATAATTCATTATATTCCTCACAAAATTAGATAAATAATTAACTGGAGAAAATCCGGGATTATCTGAAAATTCTGAGATAATCCGGGATTATCTGAGAATTTTGAGAAAATCGATTAACTGAAAAAAAGTAGCCAATAGAAAGCCACGACACATTGGAGGAAAATTTCATGGTCATAAGGGATAAGATATAGATACAATGGTGCATCTATACAGATAGAGAAGATTGAAAGATTACGCTCTTACGGGAAACGTTTTAGAAGTTTTAAATTTCCAAATTTGATAAAAATAACAATTGATTTATTCAGGATGTACATGTATGACAAGTGTATCGATAATAATGAAGATCAGAGGGATCTAGAATTTAGAAGTTTGTCTTGAGAGGTTTTTTTTAAGAGAATTTGAATGTTATATCCGTATTTGTCTTTATGAAGATAGTGAAATATGTTACATAAATCTGGTATCCGCATAATTAACTAGGACAAATAACTAAAATGTTGAAATAAGTTAAGCAAAGTTGAAATACACCATTTCGAAGTTCTAATGAGTTTTCTTTTAGAAAGTTATAATCTTTAAAAAAAAAAAATCACGCGCCGTTTTTCTTTCCTTAATTTTCCCTATTAAAAGAGTAAAATATGATGCAGGAATTTATCATCCATTTATTGCAAAGTGTTACATTTTAGTACTTACTTGGTAAGTTGTATAAACTGTTTGTTGTCAATTAGATAATCTAATCATGATAATGACAAATGCCCAATACCTGAAATATTTATTACCTTACAACTCTATTATATTGTTAATCAGTTTGTTTTTTAACGACACGTGGCCAATGCATAATTAACCTTTAAACAAACGCTGTTAAAACGGGGTTTTGATCCCTGAAGGACGCCACACTTTGCAATGAATTAGATCTATATTTGTTAACGTTTTCAAATTAAATAAACTGAATGGATTTCTTAAAATTCCCAAATGGCTTTAATATTAATAGTATTACAAACAAAACGAAACGTTTATTTAACATTTTTTGCAACTTTTATCTTTATTTTTGTTCTAAGAAAACCTTTCTTGCTTGGTTAACTAGTATGTGTTGATTACCTTCACTAATTACTAAAGATCAGACGACCTAATTAAGTATTTGTATAGACCTAATCAACATGATAATTGGTATCGAATATGATCATCGGTCATGCATGACATATTCCAAATAACGGCGCGTGTTAATAAACACTTCAATAACTTCTGAAATATTCAATTAATTTTATTCAAACAAAAATATTAAGATAAAAAAATAAATAATTTATCGGACGCATACCCTCAACGCCCACTAAAATATCTATTACATGTCCTGAGTGCACTCAGGAGGCCCTGAGCGGTTTTAAAACGTACCGCAAAATTATTACTTAAAATAATTTTTGTTGACTGTTAAATGAAATACATTTCAATTCATGGAGTGTCAGTGAGTTATAATATATTTTACAAATGAGGGCCCCACTTTGGTAGTCCAACTTGAACACATTGAGCGATCGTATATATGCAATCAGGAACAGATGTATCCACGAAATTATATTAACATTTTATGAACTTGCCTGCTTAAATAAATCATGTTTTAGTTATAACATACACTTTTAATGTACTATTATTTATAAATCAATGTTTAAAATTCACATATATGTGCTTAGATTAAAACTTCATGTAATATTTTAATACTTTATTCTTGTAAAATTTTTCCTTAATAAATACTGTTTAAACTAAGATTAAAATTTCATGTGTCATACGGTCATTCCAAGTGTCATTCGGTCATTCGTGTTACGTATCTCCAGTACTTCTCTATGGATAAGAGCTAAAACTACCAAAAACAAGTTCACCAGAATTAATCGAAAACTTCCAGAAAAAGCTACTAATAAGCTTATACTCTCATTACCAACTTATGTAGCAGATGTTACTATCAACATCCTAAACGGAATAATACCAGTAGAAGCCCAACTACATATACGAGTACTTGGACTATTGAACAACATCTGTAATCAGCCCGAAAAAAGAATAGATAAATTGCTAGCTGACGACAACTTAAACTGAAAAATAGCCAAAGTTCTAGTTGCGTGTCGCTATAAAACATATGCCCAAGAAGTACGATCTACAAAATGGTACATGGACAACACCGTCAAAAAAATATTATAGACCTCCAACATCAAGAAAACAGTACAGAGCTACTAGTCTAAGAGTAACTTCAGTAAACAGCAACACTGTATTCTAGCTTCGAAGGTCGTACGGTGACCTTTAGTTGTTAGTTTAAACATATTTTATTGTTCAAAAATGACAAATGGATTAGACACACGTTTTTCAACTTAGTAACGTCTTCTCCTATTGTTGTCAATTTCTGTGTCATATGGTCTCTTGTGGAGAGTTGTCTCATTGGCAATCATACCACATCTTCTTTTTAATTTCCAAAACGACGAGTGTAAAAAAAAAAAGCAAATATGCAAACATACAGCCTGATTTAAATTTACAACAAAAACAAAATGAAATACAGGAACAAAGACTCAATGACACAATATGTCATGACGGAGGAAGGCACATGCATATTTGGAAGGGGCTAAAAAAAGGTCTAGTGCCAAACCATACCTTAAACTGAAACTGTACACATGGGATAAGACCGAAGTCAGAACTTAAAGTAAAAATTTGTTGAAAAAGGTCCAGGGTACCGTTTCACAAAGCCTTCGTAAGTCTACGTGTCAACATACGTAAATAAATCGTAGGTTTTACAGCCGTTTCACAAAGCCGTCGTAAGTTAAGATGAGCGTAAATAATACGTAAATCCTGGCGTAACTTACTACAGCTATACCCAGTCGTATCTCGATCATAGTTTGTCCGCGAATACGAATTAAACCA